GACTGGTCAAAACAAGTAGTTTGACTGAGTCAAATTGAGTTCGGAGAACTTAAAAAAGGCATTTTCCACTATTTCCTGACAATTTTGTGGACCGAACGACTGATTAACCAAACAATAAACATTATGTAATTATATTATATTTTTACAGTATTATGGTTTAATGGTGATGTGAGGACAGATAATTGTCCCTATGTAAACAAAAAACTACTAAATAAAAACATATCTGTAAAAAATCTAACAGATAACTGGAAAATTATGACTGATCAATATGTATTATATATACATATGTTGTATTAAAACAATAAATAACTAAATAATAATAATAATCTGTAAATTAAATTATAATTAAGAAGGATTCATTCCTGACTAATTTGGCTTTTACTTCAGACCACAAAATTAATACTCCTACCTAAACAATCATTTGGTTGTTTTGTTGTTTTTAAAATGTGCAAACTAATGAAATAATCCAGAGGGGAACAAATTTACGTTAACATTTGGAGCACATAATGGACACACACACACACACACACACCCACACACACACTGCGTTGGGAAAACCCTCAGACTCTAACATGAACTACATACCAGACCATGACACACACAGGGGTGGATTTAACTGGGTGCATTCTCAATAACTAACAAGCATTCCTAAACCATCCATGTCCGTCCGTCTGTTGTGCTGAACGTCTTTACGAGAGGATGTGTGGTGGGCAAGATGCTGGCTTGTATGTGTGTGTGTGTGTCTTAACAGCATTAGAACATTGGTTTGGGCGCCGCTGCAGAAACAAGGAGCAGAACACACCCCAGCACGGGGCCTCCGCTGCAGTGGACGGTGCTGAGTCCGGTTTCAAAAAGCCAGAACTGAGGCGAGCTGCTGCCTAGACAGCTGTCCGCCAGCTGGTCCGGGGAAGAGCAAAGTAAGAGTTCGAAACACCAGTTTAAATCCTCCTGCTGAGTCCAGTTGAGAATCAGGGAAAGGAATCATCAAGAAAAAGTTTGAAGAAAAATAACCAATAAGCTTTCTTAAACTTAAAAACTTGTGAACTTTTTGAACATGGAGCCCTGCAATTCTACCTACATCCAACTAAGTTGGCAACAACTCCTGCGTAAAAACGGGGTCTACAGTTTAATTGATTATAGCATAGAAAAATCATTTTTTAAAACATCTTCTATGATAAACAGGAAGAGTTAACAAACCGGGAATCAAGGCCAACTTTTTTTTGGACCATGATCAAGGGGTAAAAGCAGAAATAACAAAACCGATGCACGGTTATAACGTATATATAATCTGCTGACAATAATTAGAAGGAGAATTAAAGAAAATTCCAAACACAGGAACCTGGGTTGGCTAAGAAGTGCTAAACTGAAAGAAATGTTTAATAGAGATCAAGCATATATCTTGAACATTAGAGCTGATCTGGCTCGTTAATCTGACCTCCGATCAGCAGAACCAGGCAACCTCTATCGTCCGCCCCCCCCCTTTAAGACGCCAACTTGACTTTTAGTTCACAGAGTGGAATAATATTCCTCCCATTGTGTTCTGCTTCCTGAGCCAAAATACCAACGCCAGCCTGGGAGAGAGTCGCAGTGTGGAGAACAGTATGCCTTCCGTTTGAGGTGATAAAATAAGAGCCAGTGCAGTTAGCCTACAGTCGCTAATTCACTTTTGGTCGATATTGTAGAGCAAAAGAGGGTTTCACATTCATACCGTTTCCTACCCAGTCTGGCGAGGCAAGCTTGTTTGCCTCTGATTACCTCTCAGAAGCGCGATATTCCAGAGGCACGAGTGATCTGCAGAGGTCTCCTCCTCTCCAAAACAAACTCACCTGTTGATTAAAAACCAGCGAAAGCACTGAATGAAGCAGTTCCACCTTTAAAAAAAATGAGTTTATCTGACGCAAAGACGCTGCTGCTAACATTTGCTCTAATCTTATAATCTATAATCTTGTTGACGTCCTTGTTTCCTGTGAGATTCAAAGTCTATCCCGAATCATTATTTAACACTCCCGATCATTCAGCTCCTCCCCTGGCTCATGTGAGTCTTTCCTTTTGACACCTCAGAGGTCAAAGGTTACTTCCTCTGAGACATTCTCTATCTGTGAAACGCTGCCTTGATGTCGTGCTGGCAGATTCCTGAACCGGGAAAACGCACAATCACCACCTCCTCCTCGTCCTCCTCCTAGTCACGCCGAGACAACTTACGTGTCGGTAAGAACAAAAAAAGGACGGAGCGACAGACACACATCCTTTTACCGTTTCTGGTAGACAAAAACTCAATTATTCACTTTGAAGTCATGAAACTATTTCTGAAAGATAAACACGTGTGCGTGCAGATAATCTCATGGCGAACGGCGAAGCGTGTGAGCGTGAGGAGTCGACGCTTGTTTACCTCCGGACTGTGAGCTTCAGTATCCTGTACGACCCCTTGATGAGGATGAGGGCTTCCTGTCTGCTGCCGTAGAGGGCGGACCCGTTTATGTTAATGAGCTCGTCGCCGACCTTCAGCTTCTCGCACAGGGCGGCCTTCCCTCCGTCCTCGATCTGGAGACACAAGACACAAATTGCTTGAGATAAAAAGAAGACAGAAAAAAAAAAGGAGAAGAAGAAAGCTGGAAGGCGAACAAGAAGCGCATTCAGATTAAGAAACGAAAGCGCCAAGTCGACTCATTTAAAACCCGTTTTTTTTTTTTGAGGGAGACATTTTTTTGTTAAACTGTCTCCGTCCCCATGGCAACGGCGCCCCCAAAGAGCATCTCCGAAAAAACAAGCCTGAAACACACATCCCACTGAAACCCATCACATTCCTCTGTAATAGACTGTGTGTGTTTGCCACAGTGCTGGCTGCGGGTCACACAGTGGTGAAGGCCGGTGTTGTTAATGCATTGCTGGGATGTTTCGGAGCGAGGTTTTTGGGGTTTTTTGGGTTTTTTTCGGCCGCACAGAGAGGTGAAACATTGACGAGTGTGCGGCGCAGTGTGGTGTGAGGTTTGAGTTCAGCCATAAATCACATCAGCAGTGAAGACGGGATGAAAGAAAGAGAGGACACACACACAGATGAACAGGGGGGGGGGACTGACTGACTTACTGCCTGGATAGAAGACAGGAAAAAGATGTGCCAAACTATGATGGTACGAAAATTAGTGGTGGATGTGATTATTTTTCATGAAGGTATATTAAAAAAAAAAAAAACACAGTAACAACAAAGTCAGTGTATAAACTGGTATATATTCAGTATTCAGCGTCTGGAGCAGCAAATATAAAAGTGTAAATGTGTATTAGAGACACATTAAGGGCATTTCCACCTGTTTTTAAAGCACATTTTCAATTTGTGCATCAAAAAACACTGGAAATTTCAAATAAAAAGTCAAAATATGGGAGGGGGGATAAGTGTTTTATGCCTGGCGGAGGTGGAAAAGTTGGTGTTTCAATATAAATTAAGTTAAGTTAATAAAGTGTATTTAAAAGTACAATGGAGACAGATTTAGCAGATTAACTGTGATGTACATGAAGCAGAAAACTGGATATACGCAGTCTAAATACTCCAAATATTCAACTTAATGCACTATAATGAGTCTATATATAATATTTTACTTTTATATTTCGTATTTTTTCTGTATTTTAGTAGCGACGGTGTCCCAGCAAAACAGTGTCCTGTAGGAACTTTGGTGGAAATGTGGGAAGGCAGTAACACGCAGATAGCAGGGAGGGGAGGAGATTAGACTAAATTTTAGACTCAAGAAATAGCAAAGTCACGACTAATTTTTCTCTCCAGTTGCTAGGCAGAATTGGAATTTCCCTTTCAGATATCAAACCCAGTCGATTTCCGCCATTTCACCCAGTATAGATGCTGTTTGAAGACGCTTCAGGGGCATATAAAAAGCAGCAAAAAGTGTGAAAAACGGAGAGCAAACTCGTCCCTCCCTCCATCATTCATTCATTCATTCACTCGCTTGCCGCAGAAATCAAAAGGAACGCATGTCATGGAAACACACGTCTGATTTCACGGTTTTAGGATTTTACAGACTCGCGGCGGTGGAACTTTTTCCTCATGAGCCAACTCAAACATAAACCGAGATCTTTCATATATTAACTCGTGCTTTCTGCCTTGTTCTCTGGGGGCCTCATGCTGCCACGACTTCTGCCTTCAGAGGTTAATATTTGAACCCCGCTGTAATACCGCTCCAAACATGTAAAAACCAAACGCATTTGAACCGGGCAGCTTTATCACAACTTGTGGTTTTGCTGTCGTCTGATGTCAAGGTCTGTTTCTGTGAAGGGAAAACAGTAAAAACCAGTTTAGGTGGACTGGGATCCAGTTCAAGACCTGGCTGATGAACTGACACTGCTGTCAGAGATTAAGAAAAGATCTATTTGTCCTTTTTCCTCTCGGTTTAGTTTCCATACGGGCTCACGATGTGGCAAAGAAACGGGGGGGGGGGATTTCAGTCTACACCTGAAACACTTAATAATGCACAATCCAGTGTTCGGTTTTACAAAAATAACATACAAGGTGCAATATTATGTAGTCAGCACAGACCTGCGGGCATTAAAATACCAGAAAATTGTCAATATTTAACTAAAATATCATTTAAAATGCAGCAGTTTCCCTTAATTTTTCAAAATTAGCAAAAAGTCACATGTTTTTGTGCTGCTCTGATTATTTTATCCACTAATGAATTATATAATAAATCTGTTACTGCCACCTGAGCTGAATTAGACAGATCACGATGCGTCTTGTGATCTGTTCAGTTACTAGACGGCAGCGAATATGTTGCCTCTGCTCCTTTTCTTATAACAGTGTTTGTATTGAGAGTTATTATCTAGAAATGCTGTAACAAACTCATTAACATCAGTAGTTGCACAAATTTAACCAAATTCTCAGAAAAAAGAAAGAAAATACGTATTAATGTGTGTTTACATCCACTACAGTTATATATCCACTGTCACAGACGATTATCTCAAAAGGCCAGATAATCGACCCGATTAATAGGATTAATCGACTGTGTTCACGCCGTTGAACTGCCGTGAAACGACGTTAGGGCTCCTTCTTTTTTGGGAAGGTGGTGGAAACCCTGTGCTATAACTCTCACCCATCCTGACTTTCCTACAGAAGAAAATAGAATTATAAATGGCTTTTCTTTGTTTCGTTATCCGCGTTTTATGTCGGCCAGCGGCAGCTTTGCTCTCTAAACATCGGGCCATTAATAAACCCCTCAAACGGCGGAAAGAAAATGTAGAAAAAACAATAGAAATATGGCTTTTATGACTGATTCATGTATTCTCTTCAGTACAGTTCAGTCACATGCTTCATGTACGCCAGGATTCATTCACCAAGTCGGTTTCAAGTCTGCTATTATTGACATTTTTTACAATAATTTGAGGCTTTTTTCAGCGTTTTCATTCAGTTTCGCTCAAATATTTGTTTGACGTGTCTTGTTATGAAGTTTTACCCGACCCCAGTCAGTGTGTGTGTGTGTGTGTGACTCTGATAGAAAAACACAACATGTTGCCTCAGTGGATCTCGCACATCCAGGTTTTTACCCCGGGCGATTAGGGATCGTGGACATCACACTGAACGGAGAGGAGTGTTGATTATGCTCTGTGACACACACACACACACACACACACACACAAAAGGAGCCTCCGGCATGAGTCGAATGCTTCTGACACAGTGTTTATGTTAATTTGTGTCTAATGAGTTTTTCATTATAAAAACAAACCGGAGGCAGAAATTGCTTCAGTGAAGGAATGTTTAACACTGCTTACAATGAGGATCACCTTTCACACACACACACACACACACAGAGCTCCCAAAAACATGGATGGTTAAGAAACTCAAATACACCGCAATAAAATGACCTCTAATTATCCAGCAATGTAATACATGCAAGACCCCACAGAAATAAACCAAAAAGACTAAA